ATAAATGAAACTCAAAGCTAGTTCTTTGAAATAAATATTACTAAAATTGACAAACCTCTATAACAGGTTGGCAAATGTTTTCTATAAAAGGCCATATAATAAATATTTTAGCTTTTGTGGTCCATAAGGTCTTGAATTCTCAACTCTGCTGCTGTAATGCAAAAGCAGCCATAGACAATGTGAAAACAAATGAGTGTGGCTATGTTCCAATAAAACTTTATCTAAGGATACTAAAATTTGATTGTCATATAATTTTTATGTGTCAGGTTTGTTTTTTTCCTTCTTTTGACTTTTTCCAACCAAAAAAGGTAAAAACCATTCTTAACTCACAGACCATACAAAAACATCCAGCAAGCCTTACTGGGCCTGTAGGCCATAGTTTGCCCATCCCTGCTGTAAAAGAAAAGGCAAAAGATATCCAATATCAGGAATCAAAGAGAGGATATACTAGAGATCCTTCAGATATCTAATGAATAATGTGGAAATACAGTGAACAGTATTATGCCCCAAAATTCTACAACTTATATGAAATGGACAAATTCCTTGAAAGACACAAATTACCAAAGCTCTCTCAAGAAAAAATAGATAACCTAAATAGTCCGTTGAATATGAGGTTAAACTTTACTGACAAAGAATCTCCAGGATGATATTGCTTTGCTGTCTGTATAATTTTGCCTTTACTGGTGAATTCTACCTAACATTTAAAGAAGAAATAATATCAATTCTGCAAACACTCACCCAGAAAACACAAGAGGAGGGAAAATTTGCCAAATCATTTTATGAGACTATCATCAGCTAGATACCAAAACCAGATCAAAACATTGTAAGAAAACTGCAGAACAATAATCCTCATGAACACAGATAGACAAAAAATTCCTTACAAAATTTGAGCTAATTGAACCCAGCAAGATATAAAAAGGATAAAACATCATGATCCAGCGAGGTTCATTCCAAGAATGCAAAACTGATATAAGATTTGAAAATCAATCAAGGCAGTTCACCTTATCAACAGATTTAACAACGAAAAAAAATATGATATATCAATACCAAACCCAAAACCAAACGCACTGCTGTTGAGTCTATTCTGACTCATAATGACCCCAACGGACAGAGTAGAACTGCCCTATAGGGTTCCAAGGAGCACCTGGTGGATTCGAACTGCCAACCTTTTGGTTAGCAGCCGTAGCTCTTAACCACTACACCAACAGAGTTTCCATGATATGTCAATAGTTGCAGAAAAATATATGACAAAATTCAACATACATTCATGATAAAAATTCTCAGAAAACTAGAATTGATAGGAACTTTGTCCACCTGATAAAGGATATCCTTATAAAAAATGAACAGCTAACATTACACTTAATGGTGAATGACTGAATGCTTTCCCCCTAAAATCAGGAACAGGTAAGGATGTTCATTCTCACTGCTACCTTAAAGTCCTAGTCATGCAATCATACAAGAAAAACAAATAAAAGGTTGGAAAAGAAATAAATCTGTGTTTATATACGAATGGCATTATTCTAAAAAATCTCCCCCAAATCTAAAACAACAAAAAGCTACAAGGAATAATAAGTGAGTTTAGCAAAGTTGCAGAATACAAGGTCTATATATAAAAATCTATTGTACTTCTATATACTAGCAGGAAGTAATTTTTATTGAAATTAATAAAATAATATCATTTACAATAGCATCAAAAACATACAATATCTTGAGTCCAGATACAGACCTACATAGATATAGTAAATTGATTTTGGACAAAAGTACCAAGGTAATTAAATGGAGAAAGGATAGTCTTTTCAACAAATGTGCTGGAACAACTGAATATCCATATTTAAAAAAAAAAAAAGAGCCTTGACCCTTACCTCACACCATATATAAAAAGTTAGAATGAATCGTAGACCTAAATGTAAGAGCCAAAACTATAAAATTTCTAGAAGAACACAGAGGAGAAAATCTTTGTGACTTTGGGTTAGGATGAGATTTCTCAGATCAGATACCAAAAAAAAAAAAAAAACCTTTTAAATAAAAAATTGATAAATTATACTTCATCACAATTTAAAACTTTTTTTCTTCAAAGACACTACTAAGAAAAGAAAAAAGCAGGCCACAGGCTGGTAGTATTTACAAAACACATATCTGATAAAGGACTTGTGTACAGAATATATAAAACTCTTACAACTAAATAATAAGACAACCCAATAAAAAAATGGGAAAAATACTTGAACAGACACTTCACTAAAGAAGAGATATGGATGGCAAACAAACACATGAAAAGATGCTCAACATCATTAATTATTAGGAAAATGTAAAATAAAATCACAATGTGATACCACTACACACCTACCAGATGGGCTAAAACTTAGAAGGAAACTGACAATACAGGACTGGTGAAGAACGCAGACCAACTCGAACTCTCAGATGTTGGTGGTATGAATCCAAAACAGTACAGTCACTTTGGAAAACAACTTGAAAATTTCTTTTAAAATTATACCTACACTTAACATATGACTCAGCCATCCTACCACTAGATGTTTACCCAAGAGACAGATATTTATATGCTCACACAAAGACTTATAATCAAAGGTTTATAGCAGCTTTTGCTTTATTTGCAGAAGTCCCAGATAGGAAACTCTTCAAATGTCCTTCAACTGGTGAATGAATAAACAAATTATACTTTTATACAATGGAATACTACTTAGCTATAAAAAAGAATGAACGACTAATACATGTAACAACACAGACTGCAAAAGCATCATGTTAAACTATATGCTTCGGATATATGATTCCATTGGTATAGTGTTTTGGAAAACGCAAAACTATACAGTCAGAAATCAGATCAACGGCTGTCTGGGGCTGCAGGAAGGAAGAGGGGGTGAAAGAGGCATGAAAAAACTTTTGGGGATGATAGCAATGTTTTATTATCTTGATCATGATAGTATTCACACAACTTTATATTTTCAAAACTAATCATGTGATTTACTTTCAAAGGAGTAAATTTTACTGTCTGTACATTATACATCAATAAACCTGACTTTTTAAGTTTAAAATATTTAAAATTTTTTAAGTAAAAAAATTTGAAAATACAACAGAATATGGTATTTAAGATTTAGCTTTTTCATATGCACTTGGTTTTGAGGTTTACACAGAAAATTTCAATAAGTAAATAATATTAAGACTTCAGTAAATAAAAAAAAGAAATTAATCAAAACCACAAAATTACTGTTACTAGCTACTACCTACCTACAAAACTTAAACTCAAGAGCTCTATTTAAAACTTTTAAAAATGTCTTTTCAAATCAGTTATTATTTTCCACAGTAACATAATGTGGACACTTAAAGACTCTATGAATATGACATTCAGAAAAGGTATCCTTGTGTTATACTTACTTACAGACAATACGGATTTCGTGTTAAATAAACTATTTTAAAATCATCACAGAAGCATCTGTGAAATACTAGAAACAGCACTGATAATTGAGTCAGAAGACCTGGTTTCAAAACAACGCAGTCACATACTCAGCTACGAAAACTCTTTAAATCGCAGCTTGCTCGTTCTATTAAATGGAGATAACAACATCAACTTCAAACATTTTTCGTGATGATTAAATGAGATGGCAAATACGAAACCTCTGGGTATTCTACAAGCACCATATAAAGCCCAGCAAGCCTTCATTATACAAATACTCATTCTCTGAGTCCCTGAAGAGCTTAGGCTGTGCAGGGAAGCAAGGGACATCACAGCAGGATAACGTTTGCTAAGGGACTGACCATTTATGAAAGGATCTTCAAGAGAACACTTTCCGTTCTGGCACCCACACCCCAACTACTTCATAACAGTATCTATCTCTGCACTTTATTTGTTGTTACTTATTCTCTCACTGACTGTAGAGATTTTAAACACCTGATTATAATATCAATTGTATGGTATTACACAAGCAAAACGCAAATAGATTGCCAAATATAACTGCAAGTCCTTCAGAAGATCAGAATTTCATTAAGTCAATGAAATCAGAACAAAGCCAATGACAGATTTAAAATTTAATTTAAATTTAATGAGAATTTTTTTTAATGATGATAAGATAGGTGCTTAAAAGGAGGATCAACAGATTTTTTTTTTTTTTAATGAGAGGGCCTGTGAAAATTGATAAAGCCTCAACTATTTTTGCAAAATTGTATCTTTATGATTGTGCTGCAAAAGTAAACAGGACAAAAGAAGTGCCATAATGTTATATAATTATCCTGGGAAAATTAATTAACCTGCATGCCCCCCCCAACAAAAACAGTTGATTCTTTCTTTGTTCATTCCAAGAATTAGTAAATAGTTATAACCTGAATTTTGTTAAATGAATGATTTTAAAAAGCTTATTTTCATAATTTATAGCTTCAGTTCTTCAAAATAAAGACCAATTGAACATATTTTTCAGTAGTCACCATAAAATGCTAGTTCTTTTTTTCAGGTTAATTCACGTTAAATAGGTTTGCCCTGTATCATTTATCCTTGAATAATGTGTACCTTCCCTTTTTTAATTCTAGTTACTCAAATTTTTATAGGGGGCAGAATATAGTCAAGTCTTTTGTTTCCTATAAAATCACAGCTGAAGTTGAAAAAAAAAAGTTTCACTTTGTTACATTCACCATAATGTTAGTTAAAATTTCTACAAATGAAGAGTAATACAGGAAGAAATAACACAGAACATCTTCACTATTTCCTAATTTTACATATAAGCATTGGAAAGAAGTCCAGAATGGGAAGCAACTTACTCAAGATCACACAGTTGACATCAGCAGAGTCAGGATTACAAGGAAGATCTCCAAAACACTCTTCCCTCTCTAGGCCATTAATCTTTATTTGACTTTAAAGGTAGGCAAGATATACATGAATATCAAAAATACATGGAATGGAAACTGTATAGACACACTAAAAAGTAAAACACTACTCAGCAAGCAGTGAGGCACTAAATCGACTTCAAATTTTTATTAAGGTTATCCTTCTGTTAGTGATTGAAGGTATTTTAGCTTAGTGGGCCATGCAATAGCTATAGCACCACAACTAATGGACTGCCAAGAAATGATTTAATAAAGAGGCCCAGCTGAACAACGGTGTATAAGTAACTCTGACAACCTGAGGCTTTCTTCTGGTCAAACACTTTATATCTATCTATAAGTGACTTTCTTTAAAAAAAAAAAAACACACGAGAAGATACTCTCAGAAGGTTTCAGTGTAATAACAGTAGCCCAAACATTCTTATATAAGTTCAGATTCTCCAAGATCTGAACTGTGATTAAAAAAAAACCTTAAGGATCTTTTCCCCAGATCCTTCTACAGGCATCATTTATAACATGGATAGAGATCTAGTTAAACAACACATTCAGCAACTACAATGTGTATTTCTCTTGGTTAAAGTAAAATAAAGAAGCAGAGCAACTTCTTAAATGTTGTCCTCTAGATTTTAGAGTGTGAAATAAAAATATTTATCAAATACACATTTCTATAAAATATTATGTAGACTGATCATCTTTATAACATGGATTAACTTGTGGTGACAGTAGAAAACAAAAGTAGTGTGGGAAGAAAATATACAATGAGCTAAGATTTTGAAAAATTATAATGTTTATGATTAATGAGAATTCAGGGGAAAAGTACATTCATGCCCTTTAAACCGCGGCTTCGAACCCCTGCTGAGAATTTGCACTTCCAACAAGTTCCCTGCTGAGAATTTGCATTCCAGTTCCCAGGAAGTTATATGGAACAATCACCTGAGGATTTTGTTAAAACGTAGATTCTGATTCAGTATATCTGGGGTAGAAAGGCAAATTCTCAGCAGGGTTCAAACCAGAACAAACCGGTTCGAACCCTGATTTAAACTTTGCTGGAAGTGTTGCAGTAAGTATTAAATCCTTAAAAATGCCCATATATACTCCTTGACCCAGCGATTCCACTTCTAAAATTTTACCTAAGAAAATAAAATGGATCCAAGAAAAGACTTACCTAAAAGGATCTTCACCATAACATTATTTTTTATAACAAAAAAGTTGGAAATATCCAAGGCTGAAATAAATCATTGCACATCCACATATGAGAATACGAAGCAGTCTTTAAAAAGAATATTATAAAACGCTATGGAGAGATGTTCATAATATATTGTTAAGTGGACAAACAGAATTACAAAAAACAGTATGCATTGTACGATACCATTTTATTAAACATGTGCAGACAAAAAGGTCTGGAAAGATACGTGTAAAATATTAATATGGTTATCTGATCATTGGGATTATGGGATTTCTTTGTTTTGCTTATCTATGTTTTCTAGATAATCTACTATGAATACATGTTGCTTTAATAGTAAGAAAAAAAATAAGTTATTAAGGATTTTTAAACAGTACAAGAACGTAAAATTTTATTACACAGTCATTCTAAAATATCATACATGAGTAGGAAATGTCACAATGCAATGTGCTACAGGACAGTGAATGAATGGTAAGCCTTTCCCTTGATACGAAATTGGTCAAACATTATGTTTATGTTTATGCGAACCTAATCCAAAAGAAAAAAAAAATTCTTTCACTGGGAATAACAGTAATTCTACGTTATTAGAAAAAGAACCATGATAGCCATTATCAAAGTACTCATTTCTGTGGAAAATAAATGGAAAAATTTATGTGGAGTTGCAAGCAAAATGGATGAGGGTTTAAACACTCAAAGCTGCAGAGAGTATCTTAGGTAAAAATCTGATCTGCAGGAATACAATCCAAACCTGCCTCTTGGTTAGCAGCCCAGTCTTAACCACTGTACCACCAGGGCTCCTTTTGGCATAAAGTGGAAGAACTGTTCCGATGTAAAGTTCAGCTCAGATTCATGATTCTTTTTTAAGGATGTTTAATTTCCCATGAAACAAAGACAAAGCTTCGCACCTGAATCTTCACATGAAATATTTCTACTCAGAGTAACATTTTTAACGTCTTTGAAATTTGTTTAAAAATTTATCTGTTTACAAGTCCAATAAAGGATTAGGCAGCCAGAATAACTAACTCACTCTCTCAAAACAGCTTTATGAAGTTGATTAATATTTTCCTTTCTAGACACACATGAAAATAAAGAACTAAATGACTTAAAAACAGGAACACTTTTGCATTTAAAACTATGTTTAGATTGTCTTAAAACCGATCCTTGATTGTCTTACAACTTATCCCTAGGAAAATTCATGAATAAAAGAAGGTTTACAGGCACAATATTATTCCAGAAGCCTTCTGAAAACCTGTTTTCAGATTCAACATTAAATAATTAGTTCAAACAATTCATTCTCCCAATCACAGGAAGAAACGACTGCTTCACACTTTTAAATCTTAAGTTTTAGTATTCTTTAACTATTATAGTAAGGAGACCTGGTGGGGCAGTGGTTAACTGCTCAGCTGCTAACCAAAAAGTTGGCGGTTCAAACCCACCAGCCGCTCCGCAGGAGGAAAGATGTGACAGTCTGCTTCCTTAAACATAATAGCCTTGGAAACACTACAGGGCAGTTCTACTCTGTCCTACAGGATCACTATGAGCTGGAATTGACTAGCTGGCAACAGGTTTGGGTTTTGGTTAACTATTACAGTAGAAAAGAAAAAAAAAAAGCAGCACTAGAGTTTCTTCCAAGGCTACTACACTTTATTTCCATTCATACAGTACAGCATTAATAGAAAACCACTGCTTAAATATGAATTGTCTATGTACAAACTGCCTATTACATCTAGTTATTCATAAAACACCCCCTTGGCCAGATAGTAGAAGGAAGACTGAAGCATCAGATAACATTTCAACTAAAAGACCTCTGTTGCTGCTTCTTGGCCAATCGTTCTCTGCAGCTCTTTCAGTTTAACCTGAAGTCTTTATCAGACACCAAGTCAGTTAACATGCATTGAAAGATTCTTCAAGAATATAAATGAGAAGGTTACTCAAACCAGCCCTGCTACTTTAATCTAAATTACCTTAAATTGAAGATCCAAATTGTGAGCATAGTGTAAGATTTTTCTACGATGTCTTTTAACTGCTTCCTCCTCCTCTCTTCTGTATTTCTAATCTCTCTGTATTTCTAATCTTTCTAATCTTATAGCTGAAAGAGGTTTACATTTTTTAGGAAAAAATACAGATGCTTTTAAGGAAGGTATTCCCTTAACTACTCCTTACATCTACTTTCTAATCCCCAACTCACTTAATTAAATTCAGCATGAATTTAAATTGCAATTAACATCTTTTGAGGGATTACATGTTCTAATCACAATTATGCAGTGAATATTTGAAACACATACATTTTGTTATATTATCTGAAGTGCAAATTGGAGTCCAAAAAAGATGTTTAATAAAAATGTATAATACTGAAGACTTTATTATGGAACCTAAGGGACTAAAAATGAGATTAAAAAGAGTAAAAGCACTGATACAAGTACAAAAACAAATTGCTTCAACCTCCAAAACCCCTGGAAATGGCCCCTCTTGGCTCCCATTTAACCTAGCTTCATCATAGTTTAAAAACTGCCTAGTAAGAGGTTTTATTAACCAAACTGAATTTCATTTTTCTTCCCTAGGTCAGTAGCTATGGAGTCTTAAATGAGTGATGATGCATAAAATTCTACAAGGGCAGAAGGTAAAATGTTTTTCTGATTCAGGAAATTACAATGGAATGATTTAACTTCCTTTACTTTACCTTTCCTTCAAAACAGTATTTCATGAGCAGCAGAAAAAAGCTGACATTTACTGAGCGCCTTCTATAGGCCAGAAAATGTGTTAGGTGCCTTAAGTGTTTTTTCATTCAATCCTGAAAATAACACTGTAAGGTAAGTGTTATTCCATTTCATAGATGTGAAAACTAAGAACCGGAGAAGATAAATGAATCAGTGGTGAGATCAGGATTTGACTCCTAAATCCATGACCTTGTTAGGAAAAAAGATAATATCATTTCTGCAAATTTGACACCTTAAGAGATCTAGGTCAAGCCTAGAACAAAGTACCAATTATAAACTTCAACTATAATCCTCTCAAATAGGCAGCTGGAACTTCAGTGACCGCAGAAGGTGCCTTCATCTTTTGTGGTAAATTTGGAAAGAATGCTTCAAGAAGCTTCACTCTTGGGACTCTCAGGGCTTTTTCTGAAAAGCCCAAGAGCTTGTTAAAACTCAGGTTTACTTCATTGTCTTCTCAATCAGTGTCCAGCGGAGTCAGGACAGGTTTTATTATGAAGGAAAGATTTGGTTTACTCATTTATGCCCGGTTTCCTTTTGATAATACAAAGACTTACTTTACCTGGATCTGTTTGTGCACACATCAGATCTTTAGTTCTAAGGCAAGGTTTATCTTCAAGGAAACCAATGCAAACTCAGGTTCTGCCTTTCACTCTCTTCAACTGTAAGTTTCGTGTTAACTCATCACTATTCATACAACTTTTGCTACTACAGCTTACTAGTAAACGAGGGGCTAGTTAGGCTAGCTCTTACTTTTTACTATGAGATCCTCAATATGAGATATCACCAATTACTAAACTGCCTACCCAGTCACCCCTGAAAATCAGGGTTAAAAAGAAAACTTCAGTGCCCCTTGGCACAGTTTTTCTCTCATTTATCCATGACCCAGACTTCTTGCTCCATGCGATGGGACTATGCCTAATGTGACACAATCCCCTTTACAAGAATAGACCCAACACAACCCAAAGATTGGAGAGAGGTAAGTGGGAGAAGAGGTATATGTTTTAGTAGTTCACCATCAGATATGCAGGCACTAGAGGGCTCTAGACTTAGCTTGTTAGTTGCCATGGAATTGGCTCCAACTTACGGAAATCTTATGTATCTCAGAACAAAACGTTGCCCAGCAGTCTTGTGTCATCTTCATCCTAGGCCTGAAACCAGCTCTGCAGCTAGAGGACCTCTAACAGGTTAAACTTAACCACTTCAAGCCTCTGTTTTCTCATCTCAAAAAATAGGCATAATATGAGTAACTACTTGTAAGGACTTTGTGCGAATTATATGAGACAATTCATGTAAAACATTAGCCATGCCATGGGGCACTGAAATTAGTAAGTGCTCAATAAATATTAGCTACTATTAACAGTTTTTTTTTTAACAATACAATTACAGTCTTTTTTTTAACAATACAATTCACTGTGATTTTAGATTCATAACCTGTTACATAGACCTTCCTCGTTTGTATTCAGAAAATTTAGAGATTTATGAGGCATAAGAAAAACATCAACAATAGAATTTTTTTTCCCCATCTTTGAGGAAAAACCTGAAATAAGACCTCAGGGGAAAAACAAACCATATGGAGGAGGGCATCCTAACAATTATAATTAGGACTGGGGTTTGGAATAAAATAATCATTCAGGGTGCTCCTAAAGTTTCCTGAAAACCAAAGGCTGAAAGGGAAACACAACCAGAGGGACAGTACATTCACTGGAGATGCTAATGGCATCTAGGAAGGCAGAAACCAAGCCTTCTGGAAAGGTCTTTGCATCTTTCCTATGAAGCACATCTCCCAACCCAGTCATCATTTCTCAAACTCTGGCCTTTCTTGAACCTCTGATAAAATACCAACATAGGGAGGATATAAAGAGGTATGAATGTTTGGTGGAGGTAGAAGGTTGGTAAGGAAAGGCAAAAGGTATGGTTTCAGAGAGGTTGGAAATGTAAATCAGTGGCACCTGGAGAATGCTTCTTTTAGAGCAGCTCCAGGGAAAGGTAAGAGAAACCAAGGAACAGCAGGATCCATGGCCTAGGAATCCTTCTACTCAGACCTAAGTATTATCATCAAAAACAACCAAATTATTCAGTCATTTAATGAATTTCTATTGTGTATGAGGAACTGGGATTTTTTTTTTTTTAATGTATGATATGATCCCTGTCCTCAAGAACACTTCAATATATAAGGGAGAAGACCAGTCCATTTGTTGTTGATTTGATCCTGACTCATAGCAACTCCACATATCAGAGCAGAATTGTGCTCCATGAGAATGAAGAAAACCAAAGACACAAGGAAAAGATTAGTCCAAATGACTAATGCACCACAAGTAATACAGCCTCTACCAGACTGAGTCCAGAACAACTAGATAGTGCCCAGCTACCACCACCAACTGCTCTGACAGGGATCACAATAGAGGGTCCCAGAATGAGCTGGAGAAAAACACAGAACAAAACTCTAACTCACAGAAAAAAAAAAAAAGACCTGACTTACTGGTCTGAGACTGGAGAAACCCCGAGAGCATGGACCCTGACCACCCTTTTAGCTCAGTAATGAAGTCACTCCTGAGGTTCACCTTCAGCCAAAGATTAGACAGGCCCACAAAACAAAATGAGACTAAATGGGCATACCAGCCCAGGGGCAAGGACTAGAAGTTAAGAGGCGACAGGAAAGCTGGTAACGGGGACCCCAAGGTCAGGAAGGGGAGAGTGTTGACATGTCATGGAGTTGGCAACCAATGTCACAAAAACAATATGTGTACTAATCGTTTAATGAGAAACTAGTTTGTTCTGTAAACCTTCATCTAAATTACAATTATTAAAAGAGAGAAAGAAGTCAGACACAAAACGCCAAAAAAAAAAAAAAAAAGAACTGTGCTCCATGGCATAGGATGTGTCAAAGCCAAAACTACTTTAAAGAAAACCAGGCACTGCATAAATGCTTGCTTAAACCTCACAGACTACACAGATTTCCTTCAAAGGAGAATTTCTTTAAAACAGAGTTTAGTATTTACTCTGTGATGGGCTTCTTTCTATATGCAATGGCTATGTTTAGGCATAACCACTCCTCTGTCAGTTTGTAGTATTATGGTGGCTTGCATGTTGCTGTGATGCTGGAAGTTCTGACACTGGTAACGCAAAAACCAGAAGGGTCACCCATGGTGGACAGGTTTCAGTGCAGCTTCCAGACTAAGTCAGACTAGGAAGAAGGACCAGACAATCTACTGCTAAAACTATTGGCCAGTGAAAACCTTAAGAATAGCAGCAGAACAGTGTCTATACCGTGCTGGAAGATGAGCCCCTCAGGTTGGAAGGCACTCAAAATACGACCAGGGAAGAGCTGCTTCTACAAAGTAGATTCGACCTTAATGACGTGGATGGAGTAAAGCTTTCGGAACCTTCATTGGCTGATGTGGTGTAACTAAAAATGAGAAGAAACAGCTACAAACATCCACTCATAATTGGAATGTGGAATGTAGGAAGTATCGATCTAGGAAAATTGGAAGTTGTCAAAAAAGAAATGGAATGCATAAAGATCAATATCCTAGGCATAAGTGGGCTGAAATGGACTGGTATTAGCCATTCTGAATCAGACAATCATACGTTCCACTATACTGGGAACGACAAATTGAAGAGGAATGGCATCGTATTTATCATCAAAAAGAACATTTCAAGATCTATTCTGAGGTACAATGCCGCCAGTGACAGGAAGACCAGTTAACACGACTATTATTCAAATTTACACGAACTACTACTGCCAAAGATGAAGAAATTGAAGATTTTTACCAACTTCTATAGTCTGATATTGATCAAACATGCAATCAAGATGCATTGATAATTACTGGTGATTGGGAATGTGAAAGTTGGAAACAAAGAAGAAGGATCAGTAGCTGGAAAATACGGACTTGGTGATAGAAATGACACCAGGGATCACACGATAAATTTTCCAAGATCAATGACTTATTGCAAATAGCTTTTTTGCAACAACATAGAAACAGTTACACACAAAGAGATATTCGGAACTTTCCAAAATTCAGGCTAAAGGTCTCCAGAAAATTCAGGATAAAGTATCTCCAGAAGCTGTCTAGACCACTGGGCCAACTAGATTTTTTTTTTCTTTTAGCCTTTGAAGCGTGGCTTATTCTAAAACTAGTAGCTTAGGAATATATCTTAGCATATTGTTTGAGGAGGCTTCAACCTTTTAAGTTAAACGATATGAGTATTTTTCTGTACCAAATTCTGGTTGAAGCTAGTTATTCTTATTTGATGAGGCTTGGTGAAAAAAGGTAGACAATATAGGAGAAAATATAGAAAATCTTCAACCCATGGAAAATATACAGGCTTTCATATTAAAATAATGGTCATTTAACTGAAAATTATAATTGTTTTAATGAAAATTATGGAAAGCATTTAATGACTACTCACTGTATGTCAGATTAAATGATTTATACTCATTATCTCATTTAAAATTCATATTATACCTGTTTTATAGTTGAGGAGGCTGAGATGTAAAGTAATTTATCGAAAATCAGACAGCTAGTAATTAAATAGCAGAGCCAGGATCTGAATAGGTCTGTCTACACCAAAGCTTACACTCTCTTCACTGTTACAGTATCAACACCAAAAACTTCAACTAAAAACAATATGTTACTGCAATTTGAACCACTGCTCTTACCAAACTCATAAACCCAAGAAAATATCTCTCTACCCTATCCAACCATTTCCTTACCTCCACTCTTCATTTTTTCCAAAAGATAGGTCCATGCAATTTTCTAGATCTTCATCAAAAAAAAAAAAAGGGAAATGAAGTGTTTTTTTAATACAAAATATAAGTCCTTCAGCATCATAGAAAATAACTTTCACATAAAACACAGTGGAATAACTGAGGGCAAGGTATAAAAAAGTTATGAAGGTGCTAAAAAATGCTCTGCTATCAGTACTATACCTGGGTACCAACGTGTTCACACAAGTTACTTTGAAACAAATCAGTCTAAGTGCCTGTCTTGGAAAACACTTCCTTGCACTGAATACCTGTGTTAGGAAAGAAAGCCAGCCCAGAAATTAATTAAGAAATGAATGATTTTTCAGAGTGCTATGAGAAGTTTTACATTACAACTTTCTAATAAACTTTTCCTCTATAATCAGAGTGAAATCTTCCTACAGATTTCCTTCCTTCATTTACATATCTGTGCAGGTCTGTTCTTTTTTTTTGTATTCCAAGCCCTTTTGCCCTTTCAATCATGAAGCATATTACTCCACTGTCAGTGCAAAACAGTTCCTAACAACAGGGAACCCAGCTGGGATAGGAAGAGGGCAGCAGGCTCATGCATTAACATAATAATCCAACTGTGTTCCCATAGGCCCTTAGGGCAGACAGCATATTAGGTAGGCCTCCTGTGCAGACTCTGGTGGAAGCTGCCTTATCACTTGCCTATCAACCTGTGGCAGCTATAGCTGGCTCGACAGCACCAGCTCCTGCCAAGCAGTGGTGCCCAATTACCTTACTACAAAAGACAGAAATCCATTTTTCTATGTCTGTTTAATGTACTCAATGCATTTCCTTATTTATGATTTGAATCTGTTTCTGCATTGTTTCCAGGGGACTGACTTACTGCCTTTTGACTTTTGAAAGTCTAGTTGTCTAAAGGCCATACCACTGCAGTAGTCAGGAATGAGACTGAAAACTAAATTGCAAACACAAAATCCCAAGTGGGTAATGCTAACTGCTCAGTTACCGGTTGTCTAACGATTCTTCAATGAGTAAAGACGACTAGAGGTGTGGGGGGTACCTGAATAGCTGCCATCGCTATTTCCTCAAGGGGAAAAAGGTGGGAGAGATCCTATACCAATGTCTTCTTTAAGTATATTTTTTTATTCTCATCCACGCTTATTCTAAGGCTGATTCCCATACAGCATAAGCGTTTGTGCACACTGATCCCCTGTGTGGCTGAAGCAGTACAGAGTCAAAAAAGATATGACAAAACTATGTTTTAAAATCTCAGATTATTATTGATGACTCCCTTTTTCAGAAAACAGGCCGATCCATTTCTCTGCTTTGTACTGTTTGCATGCAAGAAATGTATGTCTTATTTTAATACTCCTCAGTTCCTGGAATCTTTGATTCACTCTATGTATAATTTTCTCTCCAAGTCACAATATATATCAAATAAGGAAAAGCCAACAGGTATATTCCACTCAAAAGATATTACTCACTACATGTTATGCAAGATCACCTTTAAAAACACCATAAGAGATGTTTAAAATCACAACTCACTTGTGAATTAAACAGAGTTAATGGCACCCAACAGCAACAACACTGTCTTGTGTCTTGATGAAATATCCCCTTAAAAAGGTTACAATAAAGTGCATAATATGACATTTATTTAATATAGGAAAAAAGTGCTCTTAGAAGTATTCTAAATAAAGCTATTTAAAAGAGCAGGAGATGACTTACTTGGTTAGAGAAACATTTTCTACTAATCAAGTATTTCTTTAAAAAATTAGTTTCTAGAATTGTTATATTTTGTTTTTGTAGGTATTTTAATAAAAAATGAATCCTCCAGTCAGACAAAAATGCATTTATCTAACATTTCTATGAATTTTAAATGTCAGGGCACATTATTATTTAAGCCAGCCAGCCTGATATATTTTATGAACATTCTAATAATTAAGTATCAAGGGCCACATCTGCAAATGGCTTTGATTTTCTCTGTCACAGTTACCTCTGTTACCTTAGCATTAATTGTTTGTGCATTACATTAGTAGGTGGCAGTGACCATTCAGCAACTTGTCAGCTCTTTGCATTACTTCCACACACACCATACAGGGCTTTGTACAAGGTAAATACCCTCATCAGCAAGACATTTGTCTGCTCTTTATCAAACAACCTGGGGAAAATTCAAGTAAAAGAGGAAAAAAACTAAAAGAAATTTTCTTCTTCTGTGAGTAAATTCTGAGCTGTTTAATAGTCTCTAAACACTACACTATAATATATGTTGACAGAAGTGTAAATACAAAATACTAAACTCAATTATAAATATTAATTCTTATATATGTGTTTAGCAGCAAAATTATACACATCCCCTTCTTGATCTTTTGGGGATTACAGAAGCTCTTTATTCTTCATAAATTCTTACATTTTGACAAAATGTAATGCATCTTCCAAGTCATTAAGTACAGAAACTTGATTTTTTATTAAAAAACAATAAACACCAGCAATGTGGTGACAGGAAAAATAGTAGCCTAGACTTTACCACTTTAATTCCTTAAAGGTGTATGCTTCTACTCTAGGGTAAACAAAAGGAAAGCATTTTTATAAAATTGAAATCTAGTTATTCCATTGGTGAGGACTTGATTTTAACTTAAATAGCAACTTCTGCTACTACAATAATTTGGTCTCCAAAGGAGGGTGGTGAAGGAAATAAGGGACAGAATTATGGTGTCATTTCTAGCACTGATAATTCAACTTTGGAAGGGCTGAAGCATTATAAAAAAAAAAGCTAAACATAAAAGAATCAAATGTTATTTAAAATTTTAAATGGGAATATTAAAAAATTCATGTAAAAATGCTTTTATATTTAAGTATGATATATCAGTTTTAAAATCTGCCCCCCCATCAGTTTCTTTAGGAAATACATTCCTACATTTGAAATATACCATATCTTCATTTTGATTCTACCAGAGCATTTTCTTTCCTCCAAAGAATTATCTAGAAAAGACACTCCTTTCCCTATGAAAATTTGTTTTATTCTTAAGGACTTTATCTACCCAGTTCAATTTGGTAGTATAGATACGGCTTCAGAGATGGTTTTCAGCTAGCATGTTTTGACATTTCTGCCAAGAATAAGACTAAGTATGAAATACCGAAATTACACGTTAAAATAGATGCCATTTTACTTTGTTTCTTCCTGAATAGCCCTTCAGCTGTTGAGGCACATACATTTTTCCCCAGGCAAAATCCCCAGGCTAAAATAACTGAGCTTCATATCTTCAGGAAACCAAGCTTCCCAAACATTATTCTTAGGTATCTGATTATCTACCAGCTATAGTTTCATTTCATATTTAATCATGTAAATCTTACTTGAAAAAGGAAAAATAATACACTTAAAACATTTCTTTTTCTGTCAATTTTTCATCTGGGATACAATTGATGAGAATACTTTATTACTTCATTTTAAAAATTTTGATCTTTATTTTAGCAGCAGAGTTACAAGTCACAAGAACTCAAGAACTGATCATTTTTGCACCCAAAACATAAGTTTCCTCCCACGACTTCCCTCTCAGCAGTGTACTATCCTACATTTGCCACTGGGGAAGGACCCTCCCATCTGCCAAGATTTAATCCTATCACTTTGCAACCTCAGCCTCTCAGGCAACTTAAAGTCAAAGACCTCCATTTTGAACCTTAACAGATACTCCGAGACTATTACTCCAAACCTCAGTTGAGGATAATATAACTTGAAATAAAAATGAAAGAAATTTAAGAAACAAGTAAAAAAAGTACATAAATGAATACCTCATAAGACCTTTCAGATCATCTTAGATTAAACAGAAAAGTTTAAGATTAAATGCAACCTCAAAGCTTTTAAAATTAATAGAAATTAAAGGCAGACTGAATCATCATATACTGATGAAGCCAACTTGATTTATAGGACTAAGCATTTTTATTTATATATAACTCTATCACAAAAAGTTTATAGATACTACCTTGACACCTACTCAGGTGCTAAATCATTATGCATTCAGTTATTCGAGCAGGTATCAGTAAAGAAAATTTGGCTTATGTAATTGCCTGCTCAACTTAGCTCTTGTTTCAAACCAGAATGCTTCCTGGAAAGTTACAGATAGAATGCTGAAACAGAATTAAGAACTATATGATGAAGAGAAACAGGAATAAAATACAAGAGGGTAGGGGAGGAGGCAATGTAAAAAGAAATGTATAAAAGGTAAAAATAAATAAATAAGAAAGGTATAGTGAGTAAATAAAGAACAGGAATTAGAAAACTGATACTCTTCATCTTCTTAAACTTGATAGTATCGATTTTCTTAAAGGCATAATTAAATACTTCTGTCTACACAGTGTTCTGGGAGAGCTGCCACACAAAGAGATGCTACACACAGTAATAGTCCATAAAGTAAATATTTATGTATATTTATACACATACATACACACACACAGAGGCAGTGGTGTTTCAGTGGTAGAATTCTCAACTTCCATGTGGAAAAACTGGGTTCAATTCCCAGTTAGCACACCTCACGCGCAGTCACTACCTGTGTGTGTGTTGCTATGTGCATTGCTATGATACCGAACAGGTTTCAGTGGAGCTTCCATACTAAAACAGACTAGGAAGAAAGGCATGGTGATTTGCTTCCTAAAATCAGCCAATAAAAACACTATAAAACACAACGGCCCAATCCTGCTGTACATGGGGTTGCCATGAGTCAGGGGGAACTCCACAGTAGCTAACAACATTAATATACATAGCTATATATGTATGTACATATATATATGTGTGTGTGTATATACACTAGAAGGCAAAAAAAAAAAAAAAAAAACCTCAAATTTGTTATCATCGTGTTACAGTGCAAAACTGCTCCCTAGGGTTTTCTTGGCTGTAATCTGTATGGAAGCAGATAGCCAGGCCTTTCTTCCACCCATCAGGTGGGTTCAAACTGCCATTCTTTAGGTTAGCAGTTGAGTATAAACTGTTTGCATCAGCCAGTGACTATATATTTTGTTGTTGTTAGGTGCTATCGAGCTGGTTCTGACTCAGCGACCCTATGTACAACAGAACAGAACACTGCCCAGCCATGCACCATCCTTGTATTTTGAGTGCCTTCCAACCTGAGGGGCTCATCTTCTGGCGCTATATGAGACAATATTCTGCTGCTATTCATAAGGTTTCCACTGGCCAATTTTTTAAGAAGTAGATCACCAGGTCCTTCTCCCTAGTCTGTCTTAGTCTGGAAGCTCCACTGAAACCTGCCCCCCACGGGTGTCCCTGCTGATATTTGAAGTACTACCAGTGGTATAGCTTCCATCATCACAGCAACATGCAAGCCACCCCAGTACGACAAACAGACAGATGAGTTGACTACATATATATATCTTGGGTTTTTATCCTGGATTGCTTCACTGGCACACTCTCTCGCTCTCTCTACACACACACAATACATGTATACACATACACATATACATATATATGTGTCTGTGTGGAGAGAGACCTGGAGAGCCTGCCAACGAAGCAGCTCAAGATAAATTGACAGGTAACTGGTCAGCATCATTGGCAACTTCTGAAAGATGAAAAGAGGAGTGACCTTTTTGGTCTCCTCCTTAGCAAATCCCCAAAATATGTGTGCGTGCGTGTGTGTGTGCGCGTGCACGCGTGTGCGCATGCGTGTGTGCACATGTGTGAGAGCATGTGTGTGGGGGTGGGTGGGTGCGTGTGTGTGTGGGTGTGTGTGTGGGTGTGTCTTGGGGGGGAGGGAAGGTGTATGTGGAGATCTCTGAAGAGGAGAAACAAGAGCTCCCTGAGGCACAACTGAAGGCTTCCACCTTCAGACCTTAGGTAGTCCTGGAACACATCCCCTTACTTGACCTCAGATCAAATCTTGCTGTAACTAACTCCAAGGTACTGACAAAACGGTGTTACTGGAAGGTGAATACTAGCTTATAGTAAGCCATTAACTAGGGCATAGAAATATTTATGGCACAGTGGCCATGCCTGACTCAATTTGCATTCAAAACAGAAAAACAGATAACTAGACTGGTTTAGTGATAGCAAATGGTATTGTTCACCATATGGATAGCCAGTAACAGAAATACAGGTGTAAAAAGTGAAATCACGGATCAGCCTTTGTCGCTGAAGAAACAACGAATTCTGCTCAGAAAAAGAACATATAGTCACCTTTCCAGTTCTTTATGCAAGAAGCCAATTTTATTCTTGTTTCAATACTGAAATCTAGAAACAAAGAGACAGATCAATTAATCTTTATAAACTGCTCCTCGGAGCTTCATTTTCCTCAAAGAGTTAAAGGAAGCCTTGACCACTACACAGAGAACATGAAATCCCTGCACTGAATTGCAAATGCATATCTCCAATTACAGTTAAAGACATTTTTACAGCTTTTATGCCAAGTCTATATTACTAGATATTAAAGAATGTGTTGTAGCAGTTAAATGTGCTAAAGCTGGCTAATCATGCTCTTGATAACAATGGTTTATGATTATATCTCAAGGAAAGCAAGAAAAAGGCTTTTACACAATTTTGTTGCTACATGATGATGCTGAACAGAAATAAAAACAAGTAGCAAAGTCAACCAAAATCTTTTGTTCTCTCTTTTGATACTATCATCTAGAGACTAAGACATCAAAAGTTGTAACTGGATTTTTATATATCCCTTGGAATAAATTCTGCTGAAAGATTTCAGAGGCTCTAGAACTAACTTAAAATAGCAAATGTATTTATATTTTTCCAAATTTGTATACACTTATACAATGAAAATTGTACCTATAAAGCAAACAGGTAAAGAATAATGAGAATTTTTAATTAGCATTTCATTAGAAATACCAATGTGAAAAGAAGGAGGTCAACTATTAATAAGGTACAGATTTCCCACCACTGGGATTTATATTCTGAATTCATTTTAAGACCAGAAAGCTGTGATCTAAAAATCTCCACCTCCAAGACAGTTAAAAGTTCAAATAATAGTGCTTAAAAAGTAAGGATTGGGGATCCAGGAACAGCAATTTGCACACATAAGCCATGTAGTTCCCATTAATCTATAATTTTAACTTAGAACCATAAGGCCCACTTATTTCATGAAAAATGATTACTCACTGGATAGCATATCTATTTCGGATAAGACTAACAGTTCAGAGATTTCAATCAAGCACGTGAGTTCCTTTTCATTTTTCTTTTTTGGTATGTGCAGTTCTCAAAGCTACACACACACACACACACACACACACAAACATACTGAAAAAGAACTATACACACTAAAATTTAAGGTTATTCCAACAAAAGGGTTAATTAGGGAAACAAATTTTCTCAGACTGTTAATAATGGGAATGACACATACTATGTGCCCATAAGTAATTCTCAGGTATCTTTGATCTTCAGCCCCACGTGGTTTCTGTTGCCTACTGTAGCCTGGCCTCTGGGACTCTCTCAGAACCAGACATCTGGCTACTTTGTTGTTTTAGACTAATCTCCTCCCAGGAGAGCTCAAGAAACGACACCAGGCAAGGAGGGTCCTGGCAAGGGAAAAAACAGTATTAGCCGATTTTCTTTTCGAGTGGACCAGAGTATCAAAATTGTCTGCAAATTTCTACAAGGGTCTTATGAGCTCTTCCGTGGTTTTGCTCTGGCATAATTTAAATAGGATGTATATATTATATCTTAAGACCCATCAATCATCTTTAAGAATTCACTAAACGTTAATCATAGCATATTACGACATATAGGAGAAAGTTGTGGGAAAAATACAAATCAGATTAATTCTTCATCCATCTGTTAGGGTTGGGTGATGACTGATAAAACAAAGATTTTAATTGTCAGCTGAAGGGTTACACAAAAATTATGGGATAATATCTAAGATTTGCATGCCTCCCATTACTCC